GAAGGTTGGGCAATCTACTTCCGTAGTGATACTGCCTCGGAAACCCAAGGAGGGGTTGCTATGAGTCAGGTCTGACTCGACGACGGCACGTAACAACAACAACAGTGCTGCTCTAACAGAAAATACCACAAATGCATAGCTTTAACAAATGGGTTTATTCTCACAGTTTAGGAGGCTAGAAGTCCAAGGTCAAAGTGAAACACTTTGACCTTGGGCTTTAGCTGTGCCTCTTGCTCCCAGCTCACTGAAGCTAGAGGCTTTTCTTAACTCAGACAGCTGCTGGCTACTGAGGCTGCCAAACCCAAGGTCAATAAGTAAAAGGGCACAGTCCCAAGATTATCAAACAAGATTGGCAGGGCGTGGTAGGCTGCTGAATGAAGACTCTGCTACATGCAGGATTCAAGCGTGCCAAAAGCTGCAGACCATTCCCAAAGCTTCTCTTTATATACAGGAAACAGACCACATCCCTAAAGCAGTTACTCAGCTCCTCACGGCAGATTCTGCCATGGGATTTGACTGCCAGTCTTATCATGGGGAATAACTACAACCAGCTGCGCAGCCACTCAAAACCAGGCCTAACCAAGCTGACACATACCTTAATTACCCCAAGTGGATATATATTTTTTAGTGTAAGAAAGGTTCTTTGATCAGAGTATTTCTGTTACAACCCGCTTCTTACTGATTACATTTTAGTGCTTAGCATTTAAATTTAAAAAGCAGGTGGCAATATCCTGCTTGCTCTAAATCTGTTAATGTCTCTCCCATTTCCCTTCCACAGGGTGTACTCTCTGTGACAGAGCCTACCCCTCAGACTGCCCTGATCATGGACCAGTGACTTTTGTTCCTGACACTCCAATAGAGAGCAGAGCGAGGCTTTCTCTCCCAAAGCAGCTTGTTCTCCGCCAGTCAATCGTGGGAGCTGAAGTTGGTAAGAACCTTGGAATCAAAACCCACCCAGTTTCTTCTTTGTAGGGTAGAGTTGTCAACGTGGATGGTATAGTTTTAGTGCTGGTTTGAGTTGATGTAAAAGTCAATTTATGGTTTAAGATTTATCCTTTTAGGGAATAGTTGTATTATCCGATGGTGATAGCAATAGATCAAGTTGAAAACTTTATTAGGAAACCTCCCTTTTCTTAGAATGGGAGGGGAATAGAGGCGAGAATCCTCACCTGATTCTTTGAAGCATTAACTTACTTTCTCAGCTGAACCACCCGCTAATAATTATCATGACAAAACACTTCCCGAAACTTAAGTTTCTTTTACTAAAACATGGGAACGTGTACTTACTTACCACTGATTACCTTTTATCACAAGAGACACTTAGGTTGAATGTTTGTAAATGTCTAACACCTTTTAAGAAAAAGGAACAAAGATTGTAGACTGCTGGAGTGTACTTATCCCTTCTGAAAGTCTACATGGCTTCTGAATTACAGTTGTGTTTGTTTGAAAATATGAAACCAGCCTCATTATTCTTTCAGCTGTTGCTGAGTCACTTGAAAGCGCTAAGCAGCTTAGGTGATAGAGAGCAGTGCTTTAACCACAAAAGGTTTTAGAAGTTTGATTTATTTTGTAGTAATTGTTTTACATTTTTATGATAGAATAATGTTCTTTTCAGTGTGGGAATACTGATATTTTACATGTTTACAGGAGAGGACACACAGGACTTAAGCAGCTCTTGGAGAGCTAGAATATCAGAAGTTCGTAGGTTCACTGAGAGTAGGCTTCTTTCCATGAGTTAAGCACCTCTCCCTTCTATACCCTATGAGTTGTTTAAACTGTTGGTTGTGTATTGGATGCTCTTCCACTCAGGTGTATGGACTGGAGAAACCATTCCTGTGAGGACTTGCTTTGGGCCTCTGATTGGCCAGCAAAGTCACTCCATGGAAGTAGCAGATTGGACAGACAAAGCAGTTAACCACATCTGGAAGGTCAGTGTTTATGAAACTTTTTGGTGACTCTGGCTGTTTTTATTATGATGAGGAAGTTAAAAAATGAAGTAAAAGTCTTAATTGTTTAGGATTTATACAGTACCATTCACCCAATTATTTAATTATTTAATATTGTAGTCTTACTGTTATTCTTGGTGGACAAGTTATAATACACAGTGAAACACTGGCTGTTGGATAAAGAGGATAAACTGTTTTGGTCTCCATTTTCTGAGATAACCCCATGATTCTGTGTTTTAATTACTGTGGCAGCCAAGGCTATGAACTTTGTTTACATGAGAATCTTACTTTGTAATGACCTAAAACATCCCTCAAATTGTTCAAATCCACCAGCCACTCTTTGGAAGGAAGGTTGGGCAATCTACTTCCGTAGTGATACTGCCTCAGAAACCCAAGGAGGGGTCGCTATGAGTCGGATCTGACTTGATGGCAATGGGGTGGGGATAGTGGGAGAACAGTGTGGAACAAAACTCAAAATCATAAAAAAAAAGACTAGGCTTATTGGTCTAATAGAGCCTGGTGAGAGCCCTGAGACTCTGGCCCCTAGTTATCCTTCAGGTCTGGAATTGAACTCACTCATTCCCGTGGCTTCCAGACAAACAGTAGACAGGCATATAGGGTGAACATTTATATCAGATAGATACACTCCTTAGAATGATCAGTTGTGGGAGAACAGAGGATGGTATTTGCACAGGGAGATAGGGGGCAGGAATGCATAGGAAAGGAGGACACAGGGAAGAGGTAATTAACTACAGGGAAGAAGTGGGAAGAGAGCTATTACATTGTGTGGAATTCCAGTCAACGTCATGAAACAAAATAG